ACATGAATGAGTGCAACAGTGGGTGTGTGACAGTTTCTGACCAGGACCTCTCTGTGTTTGCAGGTGTCCAGTGTGAGGTGCAGCTGGTGGAGTCTGGGGGAGGCTTGGTGCAGCCTGGGGGGTCTCTGCGACTCTCCTGCACAGCCTCTGGATTCACCTTCAGTAGCTACGGCATGAACTGTGTCCGCCAGGCTCCAGGGAAGGGTCTGGAGTGGGTCTCATACATTAGTCGTAGTGGAAGTAGCACAAGCTATGCCGACTCGGTGAAGGGCCAATTCACCATCTCCAGAGACAACGCCAAGAACATGCTGTATCTGCAAATGACCAGCCTGAGAGTCGAGGACACGGCTGTATATTACTGTCAAGCGACACAGTGAGGGGAAGTCAGTGTGAGCCCAGACACAAACCTCCCTGCAGGGGATGGGGGGCTGGGCTGCAGGGGACACTCAGGACACACTGAGCACAGGGACCAGCCCCAGGAGCAGGTGTGGACCTGGGTGAGGAAGGGACTTCCTCTTGGGAACAGAGATTTCCTCTGAAATTTCTCAGATGCCCCCAGGGACAAGTATTGTACCATCTGTGTGACTAATTTATATTATTCTCAGCAGCCACACACAACGGGGGAAACACTGTTTACAATGACATTCAACAGTTACTTTGGTTCTTTTCTTGACTGGCTCCTTGTGTATCCTGTTTTTATTTCTCTACTGAGACCATCCTGAGAACTCTCGTCTTCCCAGTGGTTGGGAAACATTTCCCACAGAGAGACCCCAGCACTGTCCAGGCCCCTGTGTGCTGAGCTCAGGCTCTCTGCCCCCCACATGCCCACAGGGTCCACACATGGCCCTTCCTTCACACAGGCACATGTGGCCCCACAGGATTATGTTCAGCCCCCAGGACCTCCACCAAGTGGTCTCTGTCCTCCCTACAGCGCATTGACCTCTCATTCCTCATTTACTTGGGTGGAGGTTGAAACCCACCCAACATCACCTTCTGTCACCTACTCCTAATTCTCACTAAATCTGCCCTGGACCCTGAACTCCATGGGGCTGGAGCTCTGCTCACACTCCAAGCTCCCCCACAGTACCCATCACGGAAGGGAGGTCCAGTACATACGTGGGCATTCACGTGCCCCCACGTCATCTCCTAATTCATCTAACATGTGTGCCCATCTGTGGACACCCCAGGGCAGGTTGTACTCACTGGTTCTAAAGGTGGCCCTACTGAGTTGACATGTCCTGGAAACACATGACTCACAGTGACACAGGCACTATTGTAGGACAAGCCCTTCACAAGAGGGGGCACATCTGGCTGCTGACTACTGGGCACCAAGTCAGAAGCCTATGACACAGGACATCCATATAGACCCAGATTTAGAAAGTAACACATGGAAACCTCATGGCTGGCTATGTTGACACAAAGGACAGCGAATACTGTGGGTGTATTGGTCACTCCACCTGTCTCAGTGAACAGCCCGTACATAGAGTCAGATATTTGTGAGCTAAAGTTATGGGAAAGACATGAAGCAGGACTGAGACAAGACCCACAACTGGAGTATGTTCAGGAGAAAAAAGTTTAAATATAGCAAATGCGTGTGAGCAGACTTTACTTAAGAAGCTGGATAGAGAATAGAGAATAATTGAGTATTACTCTCAGTACAAACATTTAAAATATTGTTTTCTCACTTTATATTCACTCACATTCTCTAAAAGTTTCAATCACTTTTATTGTAGAATTTAAAAACTAGCTAAAAAAATGAACATATATTGAAGCAAGCAGCTATACTCCAATTTTTGCAATTAAAAGTATTGGAAATGTGGCAAGGTGTTTCCATCAGTTTTCTCCATATCCTATCCTGTTGTTTGAGCTAAACACTGACATTATATATGAATCGTTGCTCCAAAAACTTTGAGGGAGTGGAAACTATCTTGACAATATGCCTGCATCATACAGCCTGTGTGGCTCAGCGTGACCACTAGGGGACCGGTCACTCCACAGTCCTGCACCAGGACACCTGGTGGGAGGGGCCCAACTTGGTATCACAAGAAGAAGAGACACTTTCTCTTTGCAGAATGAGGCTAAAGATGTGGGAGTCATGTTAAAGCCATTCAACTGAAAAGAACAAAAAGCAGGAATTGTGCATTACTGAGAGAATGCTGCGTTCTCAGTGTCACTAAATTCTTAAACTGACACTGATTTTGCAAGGGGCCCTGACATGGCACAGTCGGCCTGCTGGTGACTTTAGCTTTAGACCCACAGAAAGGTGTTTGCTGTGAAGCCTCGCCATACTCAGGAAGACGTCTGTTCAGAGGGGCCGTGCAGGTGGGTGTGATCAGAGGTGATGAGATTTCCCATTTAGGGTACCCCGTGTGTTTGGATTTCCTGGTTGGATAGACTAAGGAGCATGTGAGCTTCCCACAGAAGTGGCCTCCTCGTTACTCTGAAGAACCTTTCTGTGTCCACTCCTCATGTGGACGGCCCAGCATCCCTAACCCAAGGGGAACAGGATTAATTCATTGTATGGTGTAGACCGTTCCACCTGTTAGATCTATTTCTATAGAAGCTAGCCTTCTCTAGTCCACCACATTGTGTCCTGCATAAGTATGGGTTTATCTACTTTATCAAATAGAAATGAATCGTGTGACAGGGAAAGAGAATCCACACACTAGACCCATGAGTTTATAGGAGCCTCCGCCCAGCACACAGGGATACAGCCTCCAGCCCCACCCACACGCCCACAATAAGCCTGAGCCCGAGCTGACAAGCAGAGGGGAGCTGAACCCGGAGTCTGGAGGGGAATTTGGATGCTGGTACCTGGTGTGCTCAGGGGTCTGAATAGGAGCTTCTGGGGGTACGACTCGGTTTCCCAGGCCTATCTTCATGGTACACGGTAGAGGACAGAGGACCCACAGTTTTCCCCACCTCTGAGCCCCGACATTATTCAACCTCGTCCATCCGAAGCTGCTCACCTGCCCGCCCCTCCTTTCCCAGGGAAAGCCCAGTGAGCCGGGTCCTCAGCTGCCCCTCGCTCCCTGTCTCCTGCCTCCTGACCACCCTGGTGCCTCCACGTGGCCTCACGGGGCCCCGAGCCTCCTGTTTCCTGGACCTGTGAGTGTGATTAACTCTGTTTCCCCTGATCCCTCCTGTGTGTCCTCTTGTGCCCACACCTGACTCACATCTCATGATAGAATGCAGACAATTGGTACTAAAGCAGGAAGGCCTAGTGTTGAGAGGGGGCCTTAGAGACGTCCTGTCACTGCTTGTCTTCATGACTGGCTGTTCTGGTTGGGCTCCGCCATCTGGGGAACCTCAGTGTCAAGTGGGGCTTCCTGTGCGTGTCTCTGTGCTGTGCTCTGTGGCCTCATTTGGACAAAGTCAACACCTCCTTCCTAAACTGTGGGCAAAGTTAGGAATCTCTCTCAAGTCAGGGTGTTGTGGGGTCTGAGCTCCTGCTCAGGGGCCTCTGTAGTTGATCCCAGACTCTGTACCCCTCCCGAGCAGCGAAGAGAGAGAACAGGCTCAGCTCTGTCCTGGGACAGTCATCATTTATCTTTAATCTATGTTACAAAGGGCCAGCAGTCACTGCAGCCCAGCCGTGGGCATCAGAATAGACAGTGGGGACTGAGGAGCCTGCAGGTCATGAGCACATATCCCTGAGTCATCAGTGACCCCACAGCCGACACCCCCATGTCCCTGACCTCCATCAGAAAGGGATGGAGAGGCCCAAATCCTCAGACCAGGATGTGTGCTTCCTGGGACCTGCAGAGATGATTGTCATGGAGACAAATATCTGTCTGCAGCCCTTCTCTTCAGGATGGTCAGAAATCCAGAACTGCCAAAGCATTTTGTTATTTTTAGTTACTATTGAAGAGTTCTGAGAGTGGGAAGAGGCTTGTGATGTAGCTTCAATAATGAAGATTGTGTGGAATTGGTGGAGAGATAGACACACATCAATGGACCAGAATATGTGTGACCTTGGAAAAGCCAAGGGCTCCCTAGATATGACACACAGAGTACAGACCTTAAACAGCATTGAAAACCAGGAGAATGGGAGGTACTGGCTTTTATTGTGTGATGATATTTACAATAACTTTTACTAAAATATTATTATATTTCAGTCATGTTTATAAATACTTGATAACTGAATATATTTAGACTATTCAGTGTCAGGATGAGTCTGTACATAATGCTAATCACTTTAATAATTATTACAAATATCTGTAAGTTTTAAAAACCTGCGATCAGCTCAACTAGTCCAGCATTTACTTTTATAGTCAGAAAAGTGGGGCTTTTTCTTTTTCAGTGTATGTTATAGACTGTGTGCTCTTTCATCTCAGACTCAGATGCTGTGAATTCAAGAGACGAGACCATACTGTGCTCAGAAGGACCAGGGGGGCCTGACTCCGTCCCTCCCCACTTATAAGGACCAGGCTGCCCCACATGCAAATTTCTCTGCAGGCTCCAGGGTAAAACCCTCCTTGGGCTGTGAGCTCACAGATCTCTCCTCACACAGGGCTGAGTCTCTGGGGAAGGCAGAGCTGTGGTCTAGAAGAAGATGAGGCTGCTGGGTCTTCTCCTGTGCCTGGTGACAGCCCCCCAAGGTGAGGGTCTCAGATGTCAGACACAGGCCTATGGGATGGCTGTGACTGCACGTGAGTGACACTGATTCTCCTTGTCCCCAGGTGTCCTGTCCCAGGTACAGCTGCAGGAGTCGGGCACAGGACTGGTGAAGCCCTCGCAGACCCTGTCCCTCACCTGCACAGTCTCTGGATTCTCTTTAAGCAGCTATGGTGTACACTGGATACGCCAGGCTCCTGGAAAGGTGCTGGAGTGGGTTGGTGTTGTGTGGGGTGGTGGAAGCACAGCCTATAACCCAACGCTTAAGTCCCGCCTCAGCATCACCAAGGAAACCTCCAAGAGCCAAGTTTATTTAACACTGAAGAGCCTGACAGCTGAGGACATGGCCGTGTATTACTGTGCGAGGGACACAGTGAGGGGAAGTCAGTGTGAGCCCAGGCACAAACTTCCCTGCAGGGGAGAGGGAGCTGGGCTGCAGGGGGCCCTCGGGACACCAGGGGGCGCTTGGGACACACTGAGCACAGGGACCAGCCCCAGGACCAGCTTGGGACCTGGGTGGAGAAGGGAATTCATGTTGGGAACAGAGGTTTTCTCTGAAATTCCTCAGCTGCCCCAGGGAAAAGTCTTGAACCATCTTTGTGACTCGAATTTCTCCTAATCTCAACAGCCACACACAGGGGGAAACACTGTTTACAATGACATTCAGCTGTGAATTTGTTTCTTAACTGACTTCCTGTGTGTCCTGTTTTTATTTCTCAACAGATACCAACCTGAGGGCTCTCATGTTCCCTGTGGTTGGGAAACACTTTCCACAGAGAGACCCCAGCACAGTCCAGGCCCCTGTGTGCTGAGCTCAGGCTCTGCCCCCCACATGCCCACGGGGTCCCCACATGGCCCTTACTTCACACAGGCACACATGCCCCCACGGGGGAGCAGTCCCCAGGACCTCACCCCAAAAGTCTCTATTCTCCCTATAACACACTAAACTCCCATTCCTCCTTTACTTGGGTGGAGGTTGAACCCCACCCAACATCACCTTCTGTCACCTACTGTCCTAATTCTCACTAAATCCACCCTAGACACTGAGCTCCATGTGGCTGGAGCTCTGCTCACACTCTCAGCTCCCCCACAGTACCTGTCACAGAATGGAGGTCCAGTTCATATGTGGATATTCACGTGCCCCCACGTCATCTCCTAATTCATCTAACACGTCTGTGCATCTGTGGAAACCCCAGGGCAAGTTCCACTCACTGGGTCTGAAGGGGGCCCTGTTGAACCATGTGTTGTGTAAACATGACTCACATTGACACAGGCACTATTGCAGGACAGGACTGTGTCATGAGCGGACACAGCTGGCTGCTGACCCTTGCACATGTCTAATAACTCAGAAACCATATGAC